TATTTATTAAATTTAAAGTATTTCCTTAAGTACTAATTACTTTTAACGATGTATTTGTAGTTATCGAGGAGATATTTTCAGATATTTTCCCCACTAGATTTGAATTAAGCATAGAAATATTATCAGTGAAATCGGTACATAAGATTTTAAAAATTCTGCAAAAGCAAGTCGTATTCTTATGTACGTAAAGGCTTTAGTAATAAAATAACATGTAAATTATAATCATCAGTAAGATTTATAATTTCATTTATTTTCTTTGGTTTGATTACTCCAAAAAAAATTGGTTCTTTAAAGTACTGAAAGTTAAAAAGTTTATCTTGAGATTATTACTTAACTTTAAGACATGGGTTGTAATTATAAGTCACATAATTTTACTTGGTATTTTTTTCTTAAATGCATCTAAAACCATATTGACTTTTCTTTAAAAAATACAAAAACATTTTTCCTCTAAGTGCTTTATGCAGCAAAATTCAATTAGCTTCATAAAACAAGTTACTGACGTAACTTAGAAACAGCAAAAGTCAAACTTTTGTAATTAAGTATTTAAATTTCTTGAATGAAATATTTAAATTTTTTGAATGAAGTATTTAAATTTTTTGAATGAAGTATTTAAAATTTTTGAATGAACACATGTACTTAAAGCATAAACTTTTTGAAATAAAAATTATGCAAAGTACTTATGTCTTTATAACATAGCTGGTTAGAGAAAAAGATTTCCTGTTGATCCTGTTTAATCCTTACTTTTTTTACTTTATTCCTTCAATATCCTTAGTCCTATAATATCTTGAGTTATTTTAATATCTTTTTTTTCATTTAATATCCTTATTTTTCTTATTGATAAAAGTGTGGATTCGTTTTTAGCCTATTGCATTTATCTTCTGTCAAACATTGACATTGGTTGTTCTTGTATTAGGTATTAGAAATTACCTATTTTTAAATATCTCTAGTACCGGTACACGACGACCCTGACCCAATACCCAATGGAATCAATACCTCCCTTTTTATCCACGAAACATCATCCAACGGGGTAAAAGCAATCGCCATCAACTGCGCACATACGTAAAAATATTTGGTAATTTTAGTTTTTATTTTGAAAGTAACTTTCTCAGACTTCATTACGTCATGGCAGAATAGATCGATTTGAGGTATGTTCGGATGAATCTATCTTTATTTTTTTTATTTTTTTTTGGTATAAATAAAGGTTCTATGATATTTTTAGCTTGAAGCTCTAGTGTCGTAAGTTGTTCATTAAATGTAAAAATATAGCAACGAGATATTTAATTAGTTACATTTAAAAAGTATAAAATCTCATATTAATTAAATTAGAATATTTTTAATCTTCTAAGCTGTTGATTCGAAATTTCTAACCCTTAAAACTGAATATTACCCTGCATATCAAGCTGGTTTTGCTGATTTCGCCATGTATAAAAAAAGTTTTGTACAAAGGAGAAAATTTAATACAAACTTTGTACAATTGATAAACGTTTGGAGGATCAGACCGTTTAAACTTTTAATTTAATCATTTAAAAAATAGGAACTCTAAAAGAAAAATTAAAAAATTTTTAACTTTCTGAGAAGTTGATTCGAGATTTCTCACCCTTAAAATTTATTATCGCCCTGCATAGTTTTTTTAACTAGTTTTTTTATTTCGTTATTTAATAGGAAAGCAGAGTATGTGACAGATGAAACTTCTCTCACCAGCAGGCATGATTCTGGTACAATAGCACAAACATATCATAATCTAGAGCATATTCGAGAATCTCGATAAACATTCTTCACTGTAAAACTTCTATAGCATCTCAGTCAATGTTAGGGAGAGTATTTTGAATTCCCTCCTCCCCTGCCATCCGCTTGTTTATAAAAGAGATTTGGGTTTAAATACATGGAGAGTTACTCTATCTCCTCCATCCCTAGCTCAAGAATTTTTCCTTTGGAAGGCTAACTCAAGGAGTCAAAAACATGCAAAGATGTTAACACTAAGTTGACATAGATTGTAGTCTTTGCTTATTTAATTAATCTCCTTTTTAAAGTCTGAAAAAAATTATTTTCCTTTTTTAATATTTTCTAACTGAAAACTAAAAAGTCTTGGAATAACCTGGTAGTTTGATCTAAAACACAACATTTTATAAAATAAAACCTACTCGCCAACCCTTAATATTCGGTCGCCAACGACGAGCTGGTGATTGGAAATTTCGCGCCCTGTTATAGTACCTATAAAAATAGATGTCAGATTGAACTTACGTAACTGATTGGTTTAAATTGAATTTATATTATAATTAGCTAAATTGAACTATATAATTGATCAGCTTAAATTGAATTAGTACAATAAATTGAAATTGAACCTATATAATTTTTAAGTTTAAATTACGCTTATATAGTTGATATGTTTAAACTGAACTTATAGAACTGATATGTTTAATAAACATATATTATGAGTCAGTTTCAATTATTCCTATATATTTCATAAGTTTAAATTGACTCTATATAATCGATATAATATAATATATAATATAATATNATAATATAATATAATATAATGTAATGTAATGTAATGTAATGTAATGTAATGTAATATAATATATATAATATATAATCGATAAGTTTAAAACGAGCCTATAATTTGGACTAGTTTAAATTCGATCTTTATAACTGATAAGATGTAATTGAGCCTATATAACTGATCAATTTAAAATGAGACCAGAGCTCCGACGATTTCTTTTTTATTATTTCCTGTATAAATTTCAAACTTTGAGAAAGGTATTTACTTATTTAATTTATTGTTTTCAAGTTTAAAATTTATTCACTAAGTAAAGTTTAAAAAAATATTTCCGTTAAATACAATATCCTATTGCATACAAATAAAGATAAATTTTTTCTACAAGCATTAAATAAAATCAAATTTAGGTTTAACTCTAAATTCTTTTTAATCTAGTAACTCCAATAACGAAATATTAATTATTAAAGTAATTGAAACAAAATTATAAAAAAAATAAGAAAGAAAGAAAAGAAAAATTGAGGGATAAAATAAACAACTAATATTTAACGATTTTACTAAGTTTTTTTTAAGAACTGAAAAGCAAATATTAATCATAGCAATGATTCTTTTATTATAAAGTGGGTCAGTACAGGAGAATTGATTGATATTGATTTATTAATGGTTTTCTCATCTTAGAAACAGTTGTCCCGGTTGTTTCTTACTCATTTTAGTCCAAAAGGGTAGATAAGGGTTTATAGAAGAAATAGCAGATAAAATGTGAGTTAATTGCACATATTTTTTTCTAACCCTTTGTTATAAAACTATCATCAAACATGAAAACAATATTTAGCATTTTTTTAAATTTTATGCAACAAAAAATAATGATAGTCACTGTATGAAATACAAAATAAGGATGAAAAGGTATGTTAATATATAAAACATATGTAATAAATACATTTAATATATATATGTTTTTAATAAATATATATAATATACATGTTAATATATATAATAAATATATATATAACTCTACTTTGTGTTTGACAATGGTAGACAAAAGGGGTCTTCCACATTTAATGTCACGCATGCCGGGTTCGTAAAATTGTAACATAATGTAACAAGGTTGAAGGTGGAATAGGTAAAAACACATGTTTTGCTTAAATTAAAAATATATATATAATCAGAGGATTAAATATTTTTATATGCTTCTCAGCAAAATCGGCAACATATTCATTGTAATTGTAATGCTTACAAATATTATTAAAAATAAAATCAGAAATAGGATTTATAAGGCTGAGCTTTGTTTCAAAAGTGTTAGTGTATGTTTATGCAATACAGTTTGACGTGTGGGGAAAGTGGGGCACTTTGTGACAAACAGGAGGAGAGGATACGAAAATACTGAAAAAAATGTAACATCAATTATGGACAGCCCCGAAGTTCATTTTGCAATGGAGGAATGAATCTATGAAACTCGTAAAACACTGAACCAATTACATAAAGGATGAACCAATAAGAAAATTAATGAACTACATAATGCACTAATGAAGAAATGACTCAAATTTTTTATTCTTATAAAACCTATTAAGGTGAAGCGATTTGTAACAATTTCAGGTACTTTTCAGTCAGATGGGGGAAATTAAATTTAACTATTTATTTTTATTTTATTTTCATTTTTTTATTTTACACAATTTTTTTGTTAATATCCATTTTAAATAAAAAATAAAAAACAAAAAATTATTTTTCAAAAATTTAAAAAAGCTTTAAAAATTAAAAAATAAATAGTTGGATTTACTTGCGTTTAGGTAACTGAAAAATACTTCAAAAGCTCATTTTTCAATGCTTGAATGAATCTATGTAAAACAGTGAAAGAATTGAACGAAGAAAAAACTACTTACAGAATTAGGGAACTGCAAAAACGTAAGCACTGACTCAAATTTTTTAACAATGTTATAAGGCATATTAAGGTTGAGCGATTTGTAACAATTCTAGGTACTTTTCACCTTGGCGGGAGCAGTAAATTTTTTTATTTTAGTTTTTTGTGAACGTCCATTTTTAATAAATAAGCAAAAATAAATAAAATAAATAGTTGAATTTACTTGCGCAAAGCTAATCAAAAAGTACCCAATTTTATAGTGAAGTATGAACTAATTTTTTTAATAAAGTTATAGATAATTGTTTTAACAGATTCATAAAAAATTATCAAATAATAGGAAAAAAATATTCAAAAATAAAATAATTAAAATTTTTTTTCAAATAATATAAAATTTCGATTATAAAAAATGCATTTAAAACGATATCATAGAACAGTAAGAGCCAATTTTCCTAAAACAAAGTAAACAAATGAAGAAAAATAAATATTTAATTGAGAATAACTAATATTTATGGATTCTATCAGTTTTAATCCACTAGAAAATTTAATCAACGAAAAAACAATAAATGATAAGTTGCGCAACAGAACTAAACTATCGTATTGCAAACAGAAAAAAAAAACAGAGAAACGATAATTAATTAATGATGTCATTACCTGAAATTCGAAGCAAATCTAATGAGCGTCCTCCCCATGGATCACATGGTGGAAAGTTGTTGTGATGATTATCAGCTTCCATCCAGTACATTGCATTTGGGAAATATTGACCATTCAGATACTTAGCTGATCTTGCCATGAAAGACAATCCCATTCGGAATAATCAGTTATGATACTTGTATTCTTATGATACTTGTATTCCAATGATAATTGTATTTCAGATTACTCATATACTAACTCTAATATTTAAGTTTAATAGTATTCCAATAATGCTTGTATTCCATTGATACTTGTATTTCAGCATTCCAACACTTTATTCTACTTATATTCCAATGACATTTAGTTGATTTGTATTCCAATGATACTTCGATTTAGTTTATTTGTATTCCAATGATACTTCTATTTAGTTTGCTTGTATTCCAATGATACTCGCAGTTCAGCTCACATGAAGAGCAATGATACTCGTATTTAGTTGACATGCATTCAACTTTCTTTCCTGTTCTAAACTACGATTATTTGCGATGTGTGTAAAATTGCACAATCACGCAAAACAAAATTTTAATTATTTAAATCATAAATATTCCACTTAGCAGTCACAATGAATGAAACTTTCAATTTTGGGCAATAATTTCGAATTACAGGTTAACTTTTACTTATGAAGTAATTACTGATTTTACTTATCGAACTACACACGTAACGTGCACGCTGTGTAAATGGAAACTTCTTTGGATGCTACTTATTATTCATAGCAAGCTTTGGAGTACGCTTGCGTGTGATTCCCATTCTTTGATGAAACAAAAAAACATTTAACAGCCGGTTTTCAAACATACGCCCGCGCGCGAGCGGTATTTCCACGCACAAAAAAACACATGCACACCTCACACAAGCGTTTGGTTCCACTCGAATGGTTTTTCCTACGACTTTTCTCAATGAGTATTACAATTTCTCGTAAGATAAGCTCCGCCTCTAACTTCCGATCACAAGGGCTATTTAATCGCCATCTGATTGGCAGTGACGTAACTTTTATATTTTGTTGAACTGTGACGCCTAATGATGGAATTACGTCACGGTGGCAGTGACGTTTGACTTAAGGCAATTTCTGTTGACTGTTCGGAAATATACGACCAAAAGAAGATTTATTGCGGCTTCCTGTCGTTTTTATGTTTTTGTTTCGTTTTTGCATTTCATGACCACTTCGGACACTGCGTAGAGGTTTTCTTAGAAGAGGATATTAAGCAAGTTTATTTTTCGAGAGATAATTAAGAACTGCTTCCGAGAATGCAAGATGTAAAATAAATAATCTAAAATTTCAAATGTATACGCAATTATGAAAACAATTTATTTTAAAAAAGAATTTTATAATTTCTATTTTTATCACTGCATTCATGAATTATCTAAAAAGAAACATTTTATGAAACTATACTACCACAATTTCCATTATGTATAGTGGTATGATCCATAAAACCACTATAAAAATATTTGTAACGTTTTTTCTTTCTATTTATTTTTTTTTAAATATTAAGATTTAACTCTATAGCTTATTGAATAAATAAATAATAAAAAATATATAATATATAAATAAATAATAAAATTGAAGGAAATAAAGAAATTGGTAAGAAATAAATATTAAAAAAATTTTTTTAGCTAATGGCGGAATTTTTTCCTGATAAATATTCCGAAAAAACGCTTCGCCAAATTAATGAAGTTGCTTTTTTCATTTGTATAGGTATATAAATGTAGTCAAAGGTACTAGGTTAATGCAACATCGGGGCCGTTCATAAATGCATCAGGCTGTTTTAAATATTTTTGACGTCTCTTCTCCCATTGTGACATAATATTACGCTTCACCATTCTCCCGCCTCTCTCTGTCACATGTGACGCTATCTAACATAAATATATACTTTTAATTCAAATACAAAGAACTATGTTGTCAACCATATTTGACATTTTCATTAAAATTTTAACTGTCTGTTTTAGACGTTTGTGAATCTAACAATAATATTTATTAAATAAATACATATTTTGATGAATAAATGCAGATTATAAACACAAATAATAAAGAAATATTTAATTTGCTGATTTAAAACTTTTTCAATTTAACCAATATGTATAATATCACATTTTGTATTACCACTTCCACCTCCATCCCCGCTGTCACAATTTCACGAACACCCTTTCCTCCCCTTCGAACATGACATCATTTATGAACGATATATTAAATATTAGTTATATTTCATTATTAATTTTCAAAACCCTATTTTCGAAAAGATTAAATTTCATAATATTTCATAATAATCATAATATACATAATATATATAATAATTTCATAATATACGATTAAGTTTATAACTTTTTACAAAATTACCATAACAAGACCTCGTCTTCACACGGTCATAAAAATTGACCTTAGCTAAACGATTTAACTCTGATTTTGGATTTAAAAAAATTATGAGTAGATATTGCCCAAAAACAGAACGTTTTGTAAAAATTTTAGTCATGTCTTAGTTTACAATACGAATGAAAGTTCCTCTTTTCTAAAGAATAATTAAAGAAGAAATCATTTATGAAATATTTTTAGGAATAACTCAATTAACAATGAAAATAATGTCCCATAAAGTATTACACATTTTAGGTAAAACCTTTTTCTTAAATTAAATGTGTTAAAAGAAACGCAGATTAATGTTATTTCATATTATGAAATTAATTCAATGTTCTTGAAGAAATAGTGAAAATAAAATATATGTATTAATCCAAGCCAAGAAGAAAGGTGTGGTACGAAGCCGTATCACGAAATCTTCGGGAAAGCCTATTTCGTACCCAAGACACGCGTCGTCAAAGTTTATTTTTCCAATCGAAACTAGTTACAGTTTCGTTCTCCTTTTACTTTATTCACAAGGTCAAGGTCAGCGTGTCTATGACTGTCAGACTATTGGGTTTCCACGTGATGCGCATTTGAATTGTGACGTCATCAAATTTAAATTTCGAACCCTGTGTAAAAACCAAGTAAATTAACGCATTCTTTTATTTGACATATGGGGTTTTCCTAACTGCCCATGAAGATCCAGGATCTAACCTAAGAATGAAAATAACACCAAAGATTCGTATCTAAAAATTGTTCTTGAGAAACTAGGTAATTTCATACTTTTCAATGAAATGAAAAATCATTTTTTTCTCTTCAAAATAAGAAAAAAATATTTCTTTGGTAATGTCGCACTTAGAGGGTTTTTGATTATAATTACTATTACCATTCGATTCTAATGAACAGGGCGCTCCGTAATGACAGCACTTTAATACATATTTTTAGAATTATCATCAAAAACAAAATTTTTTAAAAAAAGTAAGCAAATTACGGTTTCCAAATTTATATTTAAGTGACGTAAACACTAAAACGTTACCAAATAAAAATAAATAGTAAAAAAACGGGCTTTAAAACATCAGAACCTGTGTGATCGCCGATGAAAACTGAGAGAAGTTGAGGGAGTTTATCATTCAATCGAATTGCGTCTGAACTTTTCATCTCGCCTTCGTCATCAGTAATTCAACAGTGATCGATAGTGTTTTCGCTCCTCTTTAGCTTAAATATGAATTTGTTGTTCCTAATTGTATTTCTATCTTGCTTTTTGACAAACATTCTGAAAACATATATAACAGATGTATTAGGGTGCTATTTTAGGAGAAATTTGGATCCGATAACGAACTATTTAGAAACATTTCCAGAAAAATGCCTCTTCACAAAATTCATATTTTGAAAAACGGAGTCTATTACGTCAAACGCTGACTTTTAAAAATACCACATTAAAAACATGATTTTCGTATTTCTTTTATCAAAAAAAAGGGTTTTTTTTCATGTATGTATAGAAACAGGACATCAGCGGCACAATGTACTCGATTCTATGGTAATTTTTGACACAATATTATGAGTAAATTCTTCATATATTCACAAAAAAAACCTGAAACTTTCACAATAAGTCTAAATAAACCCATGATGCTTCACAAAAATCACAAACACAGCACGCTAAATTCATAAAATTAACACTAGATTGCCCAAGGAAGTCATTTTGAGTGCTTTTTAATTTCAATTACAAAAACAATGATGTATATAATAACACAATTTCTTAGAATTTTGTGACTTTTATAATTATTTTTATTGTTGATATTTACTAATAACTTGTTATATAACTGAAAATAGTATCAAAAATATTAAAAATTAGTTTTAAGCAAATTTATTTATACATTAGTTATTATTTCACAATGCAGTCATTTTGACTGCTTTTGGGCAATATAGGTCTTTTCAGTCTTTCTAGTGCTAAAAGATTTTTCTTTCACGATTTGTGTGGCGCGCAAAAACTTTCAATTAAGATATTTTTGTAAACATTCTTCATAACAAAGCATTAATATTCAAAATTGAGAATTAAAAGTAATGAATATTTCGTACAAAAAATGCTTATAAATAAGCCATTAAACGTATAAGGAGAAAAAAAATCTGGAAAATTAGCAAACTGTATAGTAATGACATTTCCGGTAAAAATAATAATAATAAAAAAACGTAATTCTGGTTTATAAAAAAAAAATTTCATCTTGTGATTTTTCGCTCATATGACCGTTTACCGAAAATTCAGTTTTTCAAACTTGTAGTTCTTATTACCACATTAAAAATACGAAACTAATAAGTAAATTTAATCGAGTCAATAGTTTTCGGCCATGCTTTAATGTATTCTAATAAAATTACCAAATTTAACCACGTTTACCAAACATTATTATAAATCGTTTTATTGTTAATTTTACAAATATTTATCCCAAAGTGCTTTAATAAAAATTAAGAGATTTTAGGTGTTCCCATAGAGCCAGAAACACGGAAAATTTAACCACACTTTCTTTCTCAGTGTATGAGGAGGTCTTTCCAAACGAGAGTAAATAATACAGCGGAGGACAGTTTAATATAGATGTCTTGAAACAATAGCTTTATTGTCTTTCAAAATTCATTACTAAATAATTTATAGATCCGCTTACTCGGCATCTATCCAAGAGATCAGCTATTAATTAACGCTGAATAAAATGAATTGGAAAAACTTATATGGCCGGAGACACATGATTTAAGAATGCCGCCTTATTTTGCTTAACAGCATCATTTTTTTAATACAATAAAACGCATGTAGTTTGTTGCACATACGAGAAAATGTTATAATTCAGACAATATCATTAAGTCAAGTTATTTTAAATTGAATGTTAAAACTTCTGCAAATTTGAAAAAGTACAAAAAGTTGCAACGTTTTTATTTCTAGCCAAGTTGATTTCAAAATGAATGCAAACAAATGGCTGGATCTAGACATGTTATTTTTATAATTACACTAAGAAAATAAGTATCGTCAAAATTACCAGACTATGGTATAATTTATCGTATTTCTGGCTCTGTGGGAATACCAAAAAGCTTGGTAATTTTTACCGAAGTGCTTTGGTAAAATTACTAATTAAAAATGGTTCTATAATATGTGATAAAATTAAGTAAATGTATTAAAATTGGATAAATGTGTTAAACTTTGGTAATTGTTTCAGCAAGGCATAAAAACTATTTATTCAGTTTAAATTACTTTTTTGTATCTTATACCAAATGTGTAGTAATAAGAACTATAGTTTTGGAAACCAGTATTTTCGGTAAACCGTTATCATACGAACAGAAAAATTACCAAATGAATAATATAAACATCGTATATTTTAGTTTTATTAACTAAAATTGTTTTTTTTTAACCAGAAATGTCATTACCAAAATGGTAGTTTTACAAGATTTTTTCTTCTCCGAGTAACGCGAGTAGTAAAATTAGGTAATTGTTTAAATGTTATTGTTATTGGAAGGCACGGAAGGAAAAAAATAAAAATTCAAATTTTCGAATTATTAAATTTTAAATTCGAATTATTATTACTAATAATTTCAAAAATTATTTAAAATTAGAATAAAAATTTATAATTTTTTTAATGAAACGCACCTTTTAGTTGGTTAATTAGGTCAACAAAAAGATTTTAAAAAATATACCAATCTTGAAAGAGACAACATTTTTGTAAATTCTTCTTTTTTTTAAAAAAAATTATCTCCTTAACCTTCACTGATTTTTAAAATTATTAATTGCTAGTATTTACTTTATTATTTTCATCAAGTATGCAAAAATTTTAGTTAATTTGATTTAATAGTTCTAAATAAAACTCAGTCGTCCTTATTAAAAAATCACTTTAAAAAACTGCGTTTACACTTTTAAAATATTCCATAATAATATATAAACTACATACTTTGGTATTACTTTCTTAATGTGATTATGTTAAATAGTAACATCATTTAGTTTTAGTCATTAGCTTTATAATCA